GGGGGGGGGTGCGGGTTTTCTTCCTTTAGTGACACATGTGCTCACGCAGGTGGCTAACACAGGCGTCTAAGTACTACCTACCTCCGTGTGGGCGGTGTACTAGAGATGATGGGGTGGTTTCTGGCAACGTTACCGAACGAAAATGAGATCGCGTGTAATACCCAGTCCACATTGCCCGTTTGGTACATAATTGATTCATTTGAGTAAGTCGGGCCCCTGTCAGATTTTCTTGGATGGAAGGGCAAAAGCTACTATTTTGGCAGTTTGGTCTATTCTCCCCAAGACAAACATGTATCATGTGGGCATTGTGCGTTATGTATTGCCGTTACAGGGTACTTTCTGTGACGTCTCGGTTCCAGTGACCAGGGGTTGTAAGAGAAGGATGGAAGAAGAGAAGTTGATGAAGGATGAAGGGTGTATGATGAAGGAGAGAAGTGATAGGAAGAGATGAAAGGGTGATCATATATCTGCACTTATGGTTTTTGTGGAGTGGATTGTTTATGTTTCAAGCCGTGTGGTTGGGATTGATTTTTTTTTTTTTTTTTTTTTTTGGGGGGGGGTCAAAGTGGATGGTTGGGGGGCACTATACTGTTGTGTCGATACGCTTCTTTCGGTATTCTGTCAAAAAAGCTCATGGGCTGTCACATTTTTTCCCCTTTGTCAACGAAAGCACGCGGGGCGCAGGTTATTGGGTTGAAGTGTTCATCGTATCAGCTCAATGATATAACCATATTATTTCGTCAGGCACGGATTGGGAATGTCGCAACACTAAATAGACTTTCAGTTGAGGTGTAATACCCAGGGCCTGTTGCCCATTTTACTTATTTGATAGTGCTGGCCAGCAAATCTTTCAAAAACAAACTGCGGCGTCAGACAGGCAGAGTCGAAGCAGTCCGTCTTCCAAATTATCTAAACTGTGTCGATGGGGGGCGTAAAAACGTCTAAACGTGTACATAACACCAAGGCATCCACCAACCTCACACCCTACCCCGGATGGTTCAGCCAGACCAGTAAAGGAACATCTTCACTTCTGCTGCCCTTGTTTTTTCTCCTCTATCCTTCCCTCCCTCCTCCCCCTTTTGCTCTTTTCCCATCGTTGGCTTTTTAACTGGTTTACCCATCTGTAGTGCTTTGAGAGACGATTGATTGTGAAGGTAAGAGTCGAGCAGTCTGGATCTGATGACGTTCACCTGTTTTTCTGTGCTGTGTTCCACCTGTTCGGGTGGTCTCGGTTCATTTTCCTGACTCTTGGGGTTGGGGTTTTTTTTTCGTTTTGATTTTCACCTTCCTTTCTTCTTTC